CCCACTTATTTTTTAGTCTCCATAGGGTATACCCACTTCTAAATCCCCTCTGATTCACACCATTGATTGATGGACAGTATTCAGTAGCATGCTGCAAGGATGGTAAATGGATGACCCTCCCTACTCTGTCTCTATGTGGCTAATACACAGAAACTAAATATGCAGGAGTAGTCTTACATGTCACCATTAATAACTGAGGCTGATTATCCTCTGCTTGAGGGGACACTCAAAAAAACATTTTGGGGAAAAATTAAGAGTATACCCACTACACTACAAGGTATAAGTTACTACGGCTGAAAAAAACATTATATGCTGTATGGTTGTTTTATAATAAAGGTCTTTCAACAAAAAAAACAATTGGGGACTTTTATTCTGAATAATTTTTAAAATAAATAAATAAAAAGTGTGTTTTGAGCAAATTGCAAACGTTGGTGTTGGAACATAAAAACGAAGTGGAAATGGAATATACTGCATCGAGTCTCCACAGGATACACACCCATCCAAAAATGTTGGTTTTTACAACAGAAATAAACATGTTTACAGTCTGGTGAAAAAAAAAAAAAAATTGGTATGAGGGGGTGAATGTTTTTAATAACTTATCCGTTTTGATTTTATGAAGGAGAAGAGTTATTCATAATTAGGCAGGTGGCTAACCTGACTGATGAGTGGGCGTGTGGCATTGCTGTTTGTCATCTGCAGGCTTAAGATCCGCCTCAGCTCCAGCTCTTTGCCTGTTGTTGGGTTGAAACAGTATTTCCAGCATGGCAACTGCCATCGACTGGTTTCCAAAGTACCCTTCAGTAACCAATGGGTGATGTCACTCCTTCGTCCGTGTTTATTTACTTATAAACAGGTTATTAGAAGCTGAACTGAACACAGATGTCTTTTCCCTAATTTTCCAAATGTATGCCATTTTGTGTTGTAAAACATTTAAAAACAAGGATTTACTCATTCAACAGCCATTATCAGAAAAACTTTAGTATGAATATAAACAAAAAAAACATTGAAGTTGCTCTTTAAGTGATTGGCCAACGACAATCAGTGCAGATAATGGATTTTTTTGGTCATCCAGGAAAGAGATAATCACTGATTTTTGTCACATGTGTCAATAGCTTATTTCTGCACTTATGCTCAAGGCTGTTGAGAATCACCTGTTTTCATTAATAGTAGGTGACAGTCAGACCCCCCTCTCCGTTATTTCATTTTATGTGAATCCTGTATTTGTGAATATTTTCATTGCTTCACCTTGACATCAGACAGCCCTTTGCTTTGGGACTCAGTTTTTAACTGTGGTTTAGTGATTTTTATTTACATACATCACAGTTGGTTAATGCTTGTGTTTTTTTCCCAACTGTTCAAACAAAAAAGTCTCCTAGTCCACATAGATATTACACAAAGTCCTGTGGAGTGATAATGGTCTCAGACCAAGCAGCTTTGTTAAAAATTAAGCCAACCCAGAAGGGCAAAAATTGCAAGGACTCTGGACTGCCCCTTTAAGGTTACAAAATGGAATGCTTCAGGCTCTAAAATATCGGAATTAGGGCGTCTAATTTCCACTAGTTTTTTATTTCACCAAATAAAACACAATATTAACTGAATCCCATTTAGTAGTTGAGACTCAACCATTAAGTTAATATGAGCTAGCTTGAGCTGCACTGTATCACAAGTTCCAGTCTAACCATAGTAGCAGCAGATCTTCACACAGCCACTTGTTAATGATGCCTCAGCATGTTACTGATTGCACTCTCTGGAGGTGAGCGGGCAAAGATTACAGTCTCTGTGAGGAGCCACAGGCTGTGTCTGCACTGATGAGCAAGACTGAAGCTCATGACGATGTCACCATGTATGAATCAAGCCTGATTTACATGTTAGGTAACAATAAATTCAAATGCAAGTTTTGAAGGGACTGTTGCAAACGTCAATGTGGTTGTGGGCCAATGCTGGTGTAAGTTTGAAGGGTGCAGAGGCCGGTGGGTGCCAGCATGGAGCCTTCATGGAAACTTCAAATGTAAAGGCTATGCTGAAGTTATGACCTATTTTTATATCATCGTCCTCTACCATAGAACCGTTTCCTGGTTGAGGATGATACTCTGATGAACACTTGCACATGAACGCCCCTTGCTTCACCATTGGTAATCTGGACTGTACCAAGTGGTGATTTTTTTGATGGGGGATGGATTGTTCTTTTGTATTTTGTTTAGAATCAGACAAAGTGATATGTAACCGATCTTGAACAGTATGAAGCACAGTTATAGTCCTTTTTGATGCCTAAATGGAAAGATTGATGCTTACTATATAATTATTTTTTAAACTTAAATGGTCTTTTTTTACCCATGCTTTTAGCAATTTGGTTTAAACACTAAGTATTTAAAGCTTCTGTTTGGTTTTAATGGCCTGCATGTATGTCCTCTTTGTATATGTTTTCCTTTGTGTTTGTTTTAAGCTAAGTCACAGTACAGCAGACATCTGAACACAGTTCATGGACTGTTATTATCATTTTGATTCTCCAAACCTAATAATCCGGATTTAAAGGGTTTGAAATCTGTACCCAACAGTATCAAGCTTTTGTTTTACTCTTAACTTGACACCAAAGCAGCTAGGGTCTTTTATTACAAAGCCATATATGAAGTTTTATATAAAAGTGGAACCTACATAGCTTGACATTGTGAGAAGTAGCTAATTCACTTTACAGATGGAAAATTCAAATTCACTCTCAGATTTGTACTTGCATTTAAAGTTGCAGCTAACAACGTGCTAGCTCAGCGTATCTTACATGTAGCAGAAAGACCTGGAACACGTGCTAGCAGCTAGCCTGGCTCTGTCCAACAGACACAAAATAAGAAAAATCCCAAATATTTGAATCGCCACACATTTTTTTTTACACCAGTTTAAGGGGGTTTATATTAAAGAACAATAAAATAAATCAGACCCTTTGTCTAGGTTGACACACAGTAACAGATTCTCCCTTCTTAATGTGAAAGTCAGCACAACTTTCACGTGAATATACTGATATCACAAGTGAGGTTTCTGTCTCAACCAGCTTTACCAAACCATGAAAAACTTTTAGGAAGTCTGAAAAAGAAGGGGACAGTTTGGGGTTAGTGGGTTGTTAATGTCCTGTCTGGAACCACGTTTCTGCATTGACCCATTGACTTTAAGGCTGTAGATTTTTATTTTAAAGACAAACAAAAGTGAGGTTACTCCTACGTCATTTTGCTCCTGACATCAAATAGGCTTATGTCTCAAAATATGGAGTCATAGCCATATATGTTTTTATTTCAGTGGGTTGTCAACAGGTTTAGTTCCTTATTTTAGCAGGCTATAAGTGTCAGCTAGCTAGTAATCTGCTCCTGCACAGAGTAAACAGGTGGTTGATTTGCTCAGTTTGACATGTCTTCATCCAGACAGCATGTTGCAGTGTGAGCACACAGACCTTTGATTATCATCATATTTGGCAGCAGAGATCAAAGGACTGAAAAATAAACCAGAGGAAAAAGAACAGCATCTCTCTTTGATGATGAAAGCTCACATCCATTGATGCGCTGCAGCCTAAATATAACATTTAATCATACTATTTATAATTGTGGCATCTATTCAGACTACATATGAGAGAAGGAATATACATATATATTTCGTCAGTGTCTTGATTGGAGCCAATTTTACACAGCATGTGTCTATATAAAGGAGACATGCCTATACCCAATTGAATTTGTGCTTTCCATTGGCTGCCTCTTTAAAGTCATATTTTTCAAAACATGACTAAACATGTCTGCGTTTGATCTATCACATATAACTACATTACAGCAAGCAATAGTAAGATAAATCAAAATGCAATTTAAACAGACTCCTATTGAACATAACTGCACTTTAAAGATGATACCATGCAATGTGTATCTGATCCTTGAAATAAAGCAACAACTGTAACAAATATAAAGATTTAAGAGAGGCTTTCTATGAACAGATCAATGCATCCTGAGTTCAGCCATCTCCCCGGTACTCAGAAGCTGTCCTATCTATATGTGGGGAGAAAAGTCTGTTGTAGTCAAGACCACACTAACCAAGACCAAGGCATACCTTAGACCGGAGTGCTCTGAGACCGAGACCAAGACATTTAGGGGTCAAGACAGAGTCAAGGCAGGGCATGACCGAGACAGGACCAAGACCCTAAATAACCCAGCAAAATCATCATCTTGTGTGCAGGGGGCGTGTCACTCACTAAGACCATAAAACCGGGAAGGTTTGCGCCCGTAACCATAACCATACCATACGAGTACTACAACACCAGTGTGCAGTACAAGCTGTAAAATAGTTTCATGGTCGTCACAAATTAAGACAAACTACACTCAATGTTTCTCAGTAATTACACCTTAAAACTGTTATTGTTAATGTGTTTTATTATAATTGTTATGATTGTTGATATTGGTATATTGTATATTTGAGTAATCATTTGTTAACCATACTTTTCTGTGCTGCTTTGGCAACATTGATTGCTGATCTGTCATGCCAATAAAGCTCATTTGAATTGAATTGAACTGAATAATCAAGTTGTAACTGGTCTCTTTCCTCTCCAACAATCTAAATCCAAATCAAATCTGTACAAAAACGTCACTTATGCAATTATGCAATTACATGAACATTTTTTGCAAGGAAAATCCTCTGTAATTAATAGTCATTCTAAGTGAGCAATTCTTCCATTATCAGTGCATAACAAAATGAGGGCAAGAAATAGAACATTTGACTTTAAAGTTATGTGCATGATTGTAAGCTGAAAGCTGTCTTTTCTGTCATCCTTGTCAAATAAGAGTTTAAGATGCAAAACTCTGAGTGCAGACAGACCTTTTAAGAACACGCTGTGTCACTTTTATTAGTTGTTCTGTTTGTTCATTGTGTCATTTAGTATTTTTTTTTTCTCTCCGAGCTCTCCTGCTAAACATGGAGATGCATCTGAACTCTGATGAATCACATCTCTTTGTTTTGTCTAATAACGGTCACTTGTTGCCTCACTCGAGCAGTCTGATGAGCAGCTCACTGATGAAGACTCCAGCGGCGAGGATGACGAGCATGAGCAGCACAGCGAGCCCACGTCGCACCACCAGCTGCCTGACTGATAGCGCTGCGTCATCGGAAATTTGTTGACCTGCGCCGAGTACTTCGAGCGTCTCAAGACTCAAGGAACCAGATCTACCGACTGTAACTTGGGCCTGCTTCCCATCAGAGTCTGTGTGGTGAGTTTAAACACATGGTTTACTTTAGATTTTCTTATGTAGTTGAAGGTAAAACAACAGATTGATTGGATTTTACCTTTATTTTCTATTACAAATATTGCGATCCTCTCTGTAATCTTGACCCCTGCTCTTGCCAGCGCCTGTTCAGAGGTATTCAAGTAGAGGAATAAATCACCTTTTTCCACATTGAAAAAGTATAAAAGAGAGAAAACATCCTGTAAAACTAGTTCAAAATGAAGGCTTCATTGTTGAATTTGCACAGGTAGATGAATGAAAAAAATCCTCATCTCTAAAATAGCAATTATATTTTATTAATTCAGTGTGACCAGTGGAGTTACTCACCTCCTCAGTGGCTTTCTCCCAATTTAGTTTATACAGAAAAACTGTAAAAAATATGGACTGTACCCCAACACAAATTAAAAACCCCAACCACAGCCCTGGAAGAGAAATTATAAACAGATGGTCTTTTATATGTTAAGAAACAAAGTTTAAAATATTCATAATTTCTATTGGTCCTCACCTAAAATGCCCATTTTGACTGGGAACATCAAAGATACTCCAATAGGGAACCCAATGAAGTAAAAACACACCAAGTTGCACACAGCACCAATCATTTGCTTCCCAGCCCCCCTGACGATACCTCCTGTTGCAGCCTGGGGAGAAAAAAACAAGAACAAATGTACAAGTTGTTCCAGTATGTTGGGCTTGTTTGGCTTTAAAGAGCCATGAAGCAACTTGTACAACATATACTGTCGGCTCTCACCGCAAATGCCTCAGCAATGTGAATGAAACAGTATATCTTCATGATATCAGCCACCCTCTGGATTATTTCTCTAAAATAATAAAAGTCTGTTAAGAAGGAAAAACTGTCAACGAAACATGACAACATTTGAGCTTATTCATCTGAAAAGAGTCAATGATTTGAGCTTGTTTAACTATAAGAGTCAAAGATTCCAACGAAGTGAATGAAAGATAATGAATTACACTTTAACCAAAGCTCTCCGTTTAGGAGTCAGCCTGTTAGTGTTTCTGAAGTTAGAAAACTAAAAAGAATTAATGTTGGGGTTAGATTTTAAAGACTGCATTTACTTCTCTGTGGTGAAAATGTAACCAATCACATCCTTAGAGACACCAAGACAAGCTCCAATGAAACAGGATGCAGTAACTGGATTGGGCATTAGAAACACAGCATTTTATAAGATAACAAAAAACATTGAAAACATCAATTATCTTATCTTCTTTAAATTACTGAGGAAAAGATAATTTGACACAGCTGCCCTCGACTCCTGTACGGCAGATGTGTCAGGCTACTGTTTCCTACATGTACAGATGAGGGAGACCTTGCTGGACAGTTTGGCCTGCTTGGTGTTCCCCGCACCAAGAGCATTTCCAACGCTAACGCTGGCAGCCACAGAGAAACCCATTGGAAACTATAGGACAAGGGTGAGATAGATTAGGTAGTCACATTATATATTCATCATAATCAGAGAAATTGAGAACTTCTGACTAAACAGACCAAATAAATTACCATGTAAGCAATAGCAGCCACTTCATAAACTATAGACTGAGCTCCCAGCTCCACCTCACTGATGAGGCCCGCCAGAAACCCTGCGATCTCATAGAGCCACCACTCCAGACAATACATCAGCATGCTAGGAAAGGCCAGGTGGAGAAAAGTACCCCACTGCTGCAAGCAGTCTCTTGACCAACCTATAGGAGATCATAGTTACAATAACATGTATTGTTAAAAATGAGAATAGCACACAGACACGTTACCCTGACATTTCACTACATTCTTCTTCTCTTTATACATTCAACAAAAGTCTGCAGACATGCGCTGTGTGTGTGTAGCTGTTCTTGAGCTGAATGCTAATCTAAGCATGCGCACATGCTGATCATTTGAACATACAGAAGTGCAGCAGGTTTCAATTAACGTATTTACCACCTCAGTTCACCACATTAGCGTGTTTAAATCTGCTTGTTAGCACTTTCAGATGTGGTAATTAATGATAATACAGTCAGTGTTATTCCAGGCAGAAAATATTTGTATTAATGCAATGCTTAAATAATGCCAAAATGGTTAAGGTTTGTCAAACAGCTCTTGTGTTCTTGATAAAAAAAATAATGCGAAACTAACTAGAAATTATTCAAACACAGTGTTCATTACTGTATGTTCTGGTAGAGTGATTATTTTTTTAGTTCACAGCTGGACATAAAAAGCTAAGAATCAAAACTTAAAAATTCACATGAAGGCAAAAAAACGATAATAACAAAAATTGAACAATAATGATTTCATTATGACTCTGAAGTAGCTTTTGCTCAAACGGGGCAGTTACTTTAACTTACCGTCCCATGTGGCTTTGTGCAGTCCTCTGGAGCAGATGTACACAAACAAGAAAACTGCCAAGGTATACTGAGAGATGGCATTGGCAGCTGCTGATCCACTGCAGGGGTTTCACGATGAATCGCAAAAAAAAAGCATACAACCATTGTGGGTTGCTTGTTAATATAAGTCTTATAATAAAGACACATCAGTTAAGACTATCTGAGCTCATGCCTTGGTGAAAGAGTAAAATGCTTAGGACATGGGCAAAAGAAGGCATACTCACGCCACCCCCAAATCCAGGAGAGTGAGGAAGATGTAGTTGATTATTGCGTTTAAAACATTCCCAACGGCTCCAGCTATCACCTGAGGCCATATGATGCCCTGTAGGCCAAAGCAAGCTGCTTTTAAAACAACAGACCAATTCAATGCACATGTTTTTTGTTACTTTTTTTTGCAGTACTTTCTGTGGCATGCAGAAAATGATCTCAGCCCTTACAAACTTCCATTCATGAATTGATGTTTCACACCAGTCACTGAACACACCTGATTCTGAAGATACCTCCCCTGCAGCTGGTACATGAACGCAGCCTGAGGAATCCGACGACGAGGACATGAATGGAGTTAATTAGATCAATAATGCAACACAACAACCATTCAATACCGCATAATGTGGATTGATATACAAAAGCACATTCTGACAAATGGAGGGAGCTAGACTCACTGGAAGAGATGGCATAAAGATCTTCACATACAGCTGGGACAGTCTTCGGTCGACAGAAAAAATGTTAGTGCATCTTATCATACTGAAAAATGTAATAAGTGTATATTTAGCACTTTATGTCATTTGATGCGTGATGCTTTTCAAAGTGAAAGGGCTTACCTGGCTACCTCTGCACTCTGCCTGATAGCCAGCAGGATGGGCTGAGTGTTGATGAGGACGGCCCAGCAGGGGAAACAAGCTAACAGCAAAATCAAAACTCCCCTTTGGAGTATCACTCCAACACGTTTCAAGTTACCACTCCCATAAGTCTGCAGGAAATGCGCCAAAAAGGGGATAGTCACAAGAAAAGAAATCAGAAAGAGCCCACTGTGAACACAGCAGTAGCTGGTCCTGGTTATAAAAAATGAAATGATCGTACCTGAGATATGAGAGTATCGCATGCTGATGCCAAACCACAGCCGATGGAAATACCTGTGACATTTATTACCTGTGATGAAATGACGCACTTTAGTCAGGAAGAAACAAACTGTTTGGAAAGATTCATGTCTGATTCAAATCAGCAGTGAACTTTGAAGCAATGCTATGACAGAGAATGAGCAGTGATCCTTGCAAACAAAATGCCAATAAAGACAGAAACCAAACCAAAGCGAGATCACTCACTGCTATTGCTAACGCCACTCCTGCCAGCTCTGTTTTCCCCAGGTGACCGCAGAACACCATGCTGACGAAGCCGATCAAGAAGCTCATCAACTGTGAAATGAACTAAAAAGCAAATCATGCTCTATTGTTATCAGGAATACAAAAACACAAAAGAATTTGGTCAAACATGAGGCAAATATTAACTTCCAAATGCAGTGAGTTATTAAGAGTGTTTCAAAAAGGGCCTCGAAGAACAAAAAAAAAAAAAGTCTTTTTTTTTTTTTTTTTGCTCTGGCAGCTGACATCTGCTCTGCCTAGCTTTGCTGCAGCTCCTTTGTGTTTCCAAGCGTTTTTTACGACCTCCCTTTTCTGTAGAAAATAGTTCTAGTGATTGCCGGTGTAGGTTTTCGACAGCCTTTGGCGTCAAAAGGTTTACACAAAAGGAAAGTGAATGTCTTCCTCTTTAAAGTCCTGGGTTTGTGCAATGAATAGGAGTCAGTCAAAAATTGATACCTGTTGGGTTCTCTGAATGGGCAAATAATTTTTCTCCACAAAAAGTGATAATTTCACTTAAAGGGCACGCTAGCAAATGCATAAATTTTTAGTTCTGCAGTATATTGAAATATGTTTGGATTCATTTTTTTTCTTATGTTTGCTATGTAAATGCATACACAAGTCGGACATTTTCACATATCTATAAATATTTATTTATATTCTGTACATGATAAATCAGTAATGTTGATACAGTTAACAATGATGTCTATCTGTTACTTCTTGGACCTCTACATTTTTATCATTATTCAGCTGTTTTGTTGAATATAGAGCAAATTCAAAAACATTGCTGGTAAACCACGATTGCCATGTCAAAATGTAAGTAGCAATTAAAGAAATAAAGATAAATAAATAGCATGCACATTGCAGGATGTAACAGTTTTAAGAGTCACACTCTTAACGTCACATCTCTAAACCTTATTGTGCTAACAAAATAGCTTCCTGTGATGTCATCTGTCCTCATAAACCATTGAAGTCAAAGCAGCTCTTTACTGTAGGTGAGAGTCTAAGTATTATTCTATAGTGAATGGGTTGTTATCACAGAATGGAACCGTGGTGAGGTGAGCAGGAGCTCAATGCAAACAGAGTGGGCTGCATATCCTGCTTATTACATAGCTACACAGGGAATCAATCATTTCAAACAAAATATTGAAAAGCAAATAATTGTTTTGATTTCTTCCACTAAACACATAGTCTGTTGGAATCTACAATTAGAGCTGCGTCCATGGCAACCTTATAAAATGAGCTTTCATTTCTCACATTAAATTGAACATTTCTTAATGAATTTACTAGCTAACCAGTGGCGCTGATGGCCTCGCGGTTAGGTCGCAACCCATGTACATAGGCTGTAGTCCTTTAAGAGGGCGGCCCGGGTTCAAGTCTGACTTGTGGCTCATTTCCTGCATGTTAGTCCGGCACGCTCTCTCCCAATTTCTTACTCTATTCACTCTCCTACCAAAGAAAAGCAAAGCCCAAAATAAATCTGTAAAAAATAAACCAAAAAAAACCCACCTATCCTAGCTGCTTTTGCTCCCATTAAACTAAACATTTCCACTGATGCTGAAGTTAGACAAGGTGAACAGGTCAGCATGAATCACCAGAGCACCCGATTGAGTGATTCTGCCTTGTCACTGTCTGACTCACTTTTCTTTTCCATCCAGCAGTCTTTAGACCCCATCATATCCCATAGTACGTTCCATTACGTGTTTACTTCATGTGCCATCTTTGTAGATACCTCTAGCATAGCCCGCAGTTTTTTTTTACATCTTTAATCTGCTTTTCACTGTTGTTATCCTCTCCTTTCTCTTTTTCCACACAGTAAACAGACACACGTCAAATTAACCAGAGGTCTTTCACATTCATTTGATGGTTTGTGCTTCAGATTCTGGGATAAGAGCCTAGCAACTGTGTGCTTTTCTTAGTAACAGTTTGTTTATCTAAACAACGGTGATCTGTCCAGGGAAAGCAGACCGTTGCTGTGCATAAATAGCCAATCATAATCAAGTGTTTAACACAGCCGTTCAATAATAGTGAAGTACTAATAACCAGGTACCAGTGTCTCTGCTCATCATAAATGGGTTGTTAGCTCAGCTTATATACCAAAAAAGCCATGTGCACAACTCTTAGGCTGTATAAAGCATGTAGGTAGTCTCAGTAACATCACCTACCAGCCTTTTTCCTTTCCATATTTGTCTTAATCTTTCAACACAGGAAGATGCTGCTTGCCATAATGTCATAGCTGAGCATTCACATATAACTCCTCTCCACTTTTTGCTCAGAAAACACAACTGCGACAGCAAAAAAATGCTTCACTTTAGGCTTACTGACTTCGATTAACATACAATCGGCAATGTCATGGTGGCTCTATCCACCCTTTTTTGTGCCGTGTGGTGCCACCTTTCCTTCTCTGCAGCAGTTGTGAAGATCTTTCTGTAAAATAGTAACATTTGCATGTATCTAAAAGAGCTCTTAAGATTGATTAGAACAGAAAAAATAAATTGTCTTTGTTATTCACAACACTCACTTCATGATCATTTCTTTAGGGTCTGAGGTCAAGCCACTTATTGATCCTGCCGTCCTGATCTGTATATTGATCTTGTTCTTGTCCTCTGCGTTTGAGCCAAACCTCTCTAACGTGAGTTGTGCTCAATCATTCAGCACATGCTTTTAATCTGGTGGATTCACACTACACTACATTACATTTGTGTCAAGTGTTAGATCTTTACACAACCTTACCACTGGCCCAGCTAGTTTTAAAAATCGAAAAGTTTCATTCTTGTAGTCTGCAGGCACCAGTAGCTTCATCCGTCTCAGCCAGGGTCCGCAGCATGAGTCAACACGGTGAGCAGCAGGAGGGGATTCATTTGTTTTGGTATGTCCTTTTACTCCTTTTTTCGCAGCTATTATGTATAAATCCTCCATGCTGAAATGAGATTCGAATGAGAAAAAGAACTCAATCCAAAAACTGACTACAATTCCCCTCAAACACAGACAAGAAGGCAGGGAGTGAATCAATAACCAATTACCTGGAAAATAATCAATAACTAAGGCAATGTCCGCCCACCTTGCTCTCTGTCTCTGAGAGGGTATTTACAGTATACGCTGGAGCTTCACTACAAATCATACCTCTCCTTCTTAACCCGCCAACAAGCTGTAAACTCCTTGAAACTTAAAGCACTGCAACACTGCTTGTTGTTTTCCCCCAAAGTCCCTGCAGCATGACAAATATATACTGTCCACTAAAGTTCAAAAGAATACAGAGTTACAACGCTTTCAACATCTTTAACTGGAGGTAAAAAAGATGTGGCAGCAGTACATCTTTATCTAGATCCATTTTCACTAATGTACTCCTGAAAATGTCTAGACATTTTTCAGACAGACTGACTGCTATATGACACTATGATGGGAATATTTGCCTTTATCTCAATGCCACAAGTAGTGGGACAGAATCCAATTTTCAACAAAAGAGCGGAGAAGAACATACTGGCAAACAGAAAACTTAAAGCAGCCGTTTAATTACGTACACGGTGATTGTAGTGGTCAGATGCAGACAGTGTCTGGTGGTGCACCGGTCACAGCAAATAAACGTCACCACCCCCTCCCGCTAGCTTGAGTTGAATTCTCCTGAACGTATCCTGCTGTGTTCTGACAACAGCTCACTCGGCCTTACTGCAGTTCCAATATGAGGGAACTGCAGTAAGGCCGAAGACACTTACAGCTCCTCCCGCAAATATAAGGAGTTTTTCAGAAGTATGACTGCAGAGACACAAAACGAGTTAATGTTATTGCTCACTCAGAGAGAGAGTTTATTCCCCCATCACTGATCTATATATGTGTCTGTCACTTACTTGTATTCTGTCACATCATCATGTAGTATGTTATATTTTTCCTCCTTTAGTAACACCTCTCAGTGAGGTGTTAACACCTCACTGAGATGTGTTAACACCTCACTGAGATGTGTTACTCTCCCTGGCTGTGGCTGTTAAAACCATCCATCAGATGGTGCTGTTTTGCTCTTGTTGGAAAAAAAACACCAACACTCACATTTCTGTCACATCAGGCTGCCTCTCTGAACTTTGAATGGATTTCTAATCATTTAATCAAATTAAAAAATGTGTCTCTCATCGGCTTCCTATAATGATTAAACACATCCAAGGAACCCTGAAACATTCTGTCAAACATATTTTCAAACACTTAATTTCATCTGTCTGTGCCCCAAGTGAAAGCAGAAGAACAGAAAAGAGGGCAATGTGTGGAGGCCAATGGGGGAGGATAGTGGGTGACACCTAATGTAGACTCTCATTCATTTTCCTGGTTCAGTGATGCAGCAAGGCCCACCAGGTCCACCCACCCACCAAATTGTATTCCTGCTGCTCCCCCCAACACAACTGCACGCACAGTATCACACACACCGTCGTCCGCCGTGACGTCACACTGCAGTTCTTCCCGGGCTCCACTGGATGACAGTGGCAAGTCACCGCTTACACACGATGAGCCGTCGTCATTCTTAATGGCGACCCGTCAGAGTGTGTGTATACGTGAATGCATTTGTATAGGTGTTTGTGCTTGTGTGCATGTGCGTTTGGGTGGGGTCCGCGCCTGATGGGTCGCGATGGGGTATTGAGGAGGTGGAGAGGGTTTTATCGGAGGGTTGGGGGGGGGGGGGTACTGCGGGTTTGATGGAGGTGTAGAAGGCGGGAGGAGGGCAGTAAAAATCGCAAATGAGAGGAAATTGTTTTGAGTCACAGCAGATTTGGTGGAGTGAGATAAGGGCTGATGACGGCTGTGGTGGTGTGATTAGGATTAGAGTGAAGGGGAGGGGGGTTAGAGAGCATAGAAGGTGGTGGTTGTGGCAGAAGGGCGGGGGGGATAAGTGTGCGTGGGTGGAAGAAGATTTTAGAGAGAGGTTCAAATATTTGCACGCACAGTGACACTTTATGTGTGTGTGTGTGTGTGTGTGTGCATTTTTCGATGTGAGTGAGTGAGAATTTTCCTGCGAGAGACAAAAATCAAGGGAGCGATGAGGAGATGGGTGGTATAGATAATGGCGGCCGCAGAGAGAGCGTAGGGGGCAGCTTGTGTCAAGCAGTAAGATAGAGTGAGATGGAACAAGAAGGAGTGCATGAGACAAAAGAAGTGAACATTTGATAGAGAGGTAAAAAGAGAGACAGAGTGCGTGGGGGGGGGAGGGGGGGGGCATGGATGAGAGGATGGACGAAGGGAGGAACGTTGAAAGAGTGCCAGAGTGATTTTTGACGCGTTCACTTCCTCCCTTTGTCGGTTACGTTTGGCGGCGAGAGCTTTGGGGGGGGTTTTGGAGCGAACAATGACGCAGAGGGACTCGTCGTGTCTGCTCCAGCTGATAATGACGATGCCTAAAGACGATAACAATAATAAGCAGCTTTTAGTGGAACCCTAAAAACCGCCAGCACGTGACGTACAACGTCACATATTATCACTCATGACACAACTGCGCTGGACACACAGACGAGGCTATCTCACGTTGGCAGTGTGTGTGAGGGTGGTCAGAGGGGGCGAGCGAGACACAAAGAGAGGCAGGTGGAAATAGAGAGAAAAGGGGAGCATGGAGGAAAAGGGATTATGTTTGGAGTTGTGTCACCTGCATACACTTGACATTCGCATACAGGATGATCATAAGAGACGTGTGCTGAAAGTCAAACACAAAATGAACGCACTTATACACGCCCCTATTGTATGTGTGCAATCTTGTGTAATTTTGCTTTTATCAGCACAGGCTGAAAAAAAAAAAAAAAAAATTCAAAGGCAGCCACTCAGACAAAGCCGAACCCTACTGAGATGCGATATTTAGAAATCTGAATGCAATGGTTGATGGAGTGTTTGTTTGTCTCTCGTACTGTTGACCACATTTTCAGTTTCGTTCTACACAAAGTGAGCTCTTCATTTTGAATTTCAGACTTTGGCAAGGGAACAAATAATTTTAGCGTGAACTCATCTCACTGGAAAAAAAAAAAAAAGACGACGACATAGATGAAAAGTAGTTCAGCCATGACTAAAGCAGATGAAAATTTGATGTCTGCTCTTTCGATGATGAATGAGCTTTTGAATGTCTTTGGTGAGTCATATAGAAATGACTTGTAATAAGCATTGCGATGCTGCTTTGTTCACTTGGTGCTATAAATAGAGTTTGGTGTTTTCAGGACTTTTTCTATTGACGGGTGACGGAGAAGAAGATGGTAGAATTTTTAACCTTCAGGAACAAAACAAGAACCATGGCATGTTAGCGATGAGTCTCTGAGGTAATTAGGTTAAATTACGGATTAATGAATTCCTTGTCTGAGCTGCTACAACAAGCATCATGGGAACACATTATAATCTCACTGTTGATTTAACAACCCCGTCCTGATGCAACAGACGAGCCTTCTCAATGCCACCAACCCCGATACGTCTACCATGACTCATCCAGCCTCTAAAACAATGCGGCAGCATGCTGCTCGGCCCCTTCTGACACACTGTCCTTTCCATAGCACCCTTGGTGAAGCTGCTGGGTTTGTCCGCAGGGGTAAACACAAACAGACAGCACCAAAGGGTCTCTCTGGGAGTGCTTAAACGAACAAAGACAAGAAAAAAAAAAAGAACTTGGAGGGGATAAAAGTAAACAGGTTTAAAGGATGTCTTGTGTGACTCAGTGAAAAGCCATCCATTAATCCCACGGGATTATTGTATGACTGTTTTTGAGGCGGAGGGCTGTGTGACATGTTCATGCTTGGAAGTGATGCTGTGCTTTGTTGTTGACTCATTCACTGGAGAGGCTCATTGACTCTGGCAGCTGGTTGACCTTGGAAAGAAAGCAACCTGTTTCTCTCACTTTCAGTTTCACCCTTGGGAGCTTTTTTCCCCCCACCCCTCCTTTTTTTCTCGCGTCCAAGGAACCGAAGCGGGAGATGGACGATCTGACATGAGGGTCACAGGGGGAGAGCGGCACCTTGCCTCACCTGCAACACATCACGTTTTCAACACACCAGCAGGGTGTGATGCTTCGAGAGTCCCACAGCTCTTTAAATCGATCCTTACACGCTCTGACAAGTGGCTTAAAATAACTACATGATATCTTGTTCTGGGAATAGAGTCAAAACAAAGGAGTTTTGGGTCAGAATGCTGAGCACACACAAGTCTTGACCTCACAATGCAGGGATCTCTGATTCAGCCTAGTGGTGTTCATCACAGCATGTGTACTGCTTTTTTAAAAATATTTTTTTAAGGTTTGATGCCTTTATTCTGAGGAGAGGACAGTGGAAAGTGGGATGAGACAGTGGGGGAAGACATGAGGCAAAGTGCAGAGGGTATGGAGTTGAACCCAGACTGCCTGCTTTGAGGACTATAGCCTCTGTCCATCGTGGGCGATATAACCTCTAGGCATTCCTGCGCCTCCTTTTTTTTACATTTCAAGAAATAAGATGGCAGAGCCTGCAACATCTCCCTTTGAAGCGCCTTATGAATCATATAGAGAACCAACACAAGTGAGTTGAATGATAGGAGACACATTTGAAACCTCAAACTAAAACTTTTTCTAGGTTTCTACTTCAAATATGAAAAAAAGACGGTATTTTGTGGATTTGTGTACTTACAATATTGTAAATTCTACAATTCTACAATTCACTTAGCAGACGTTTTTATCCAAAGCGACGTACATCAGAGAGTAAGTACAACACAAGCAAGGATCTAGAAAAAAGGGAACAGTGTCAGTAAGAGCAAACGATCAGCTTTGAGTCTGATTGGACACACAGGTGCTGACAGGAAGTGACCAGAGGCAAAGCACAACATTGAGGGCAGTTCTTGAGAGCTCTAATCAGTATAGAAACCATCTTAGAAGTTGTCGTTATCAAACAAAAACAATCGTCACTACCATCATCATCATCATCAATGATATCGATAAATGTATAA